TTATCTTTTAAACTAAAAGAGATAGACCTATATATATATATATCAAATTAAATGGTTTAAACCGAACTCTATTGTGAGCATAGTAGTTGCTTACAAAAGCTATATTCATAATTTTTTTATAACAATGGATATTTCGACACAATAAAAGTTGTAGCGCTGTTTGAAACGAATATAACAATTTATGATTTAATGTAAATATTTTATTTATTATATGAATTTTATCGGCTTAAAATATCGCGGACGACGTCTACCTTTTCATTTTCGGTCCTGCGATATGCCCAATTTCTGACTCGAGATCATTTGATCAATCTCTAACGAGACAGAAGTTGGCCATATCGCAGGGCCAAAAATGAAAAAGTAGACGTCGCCTGCGATATTTTAAGCCGATAAAAACTCATAAAATATATAAAATATTTATTAACATTAAATTATACATCATTGTGTTCGTTTCAAACAGCGCTACAACTTTTATTGTGTCGAAATATTCACATCGTTATAAAAAAAATTATGCATACCGCTCCGTTCGTTAACGCAGATAGCTTTTGTAAGCAATTATTATGCTCACAATAGAGTTCAGTTTCAACCATTTAATTTGATATATATTTGTTATGGTTTGTCTCTTTTAGTTTAAAAGATAAAAGGAGGTGGCCACTTAAGTGTCACATTCTGTATATATATGTTGGTTTATTTATTTGTTTCTCTTTATTCCAATTTGTATAAATTAGTAGGATTAAGTATGTTTCAAGAATAGATATTATTTGCGCTTGCTTTATATAAAGAAATTTTATGTTTGATTTAAAGATATATTTGTCAAAATCCAATACATACTCGTAATAAACTTGTAGATAATGTTCAAAGTCATTCTCAAGTCATGCTTTTATATATGTATATATAATGTTTTTATTTCATATTATATAATGTACAAATACTCTAAGATTATAGAAGATTTTATCTCAAATAGAGAGAGAGAGAGAGAGAGAGACATCTTTTATATTCAATAATGTATTTTTTTTTTATTTTTTAAGAAAAGGACACTAAACATCTAAAGACACAAACACAAGCATGTTAGCGGTTAATATTTTGTCAAATTGTCTTTCAATTGTATTGATAGCATAATATAACAGTACAATCGATATCATATCATTATTATATTGATACGGTTCAGGGGGTGGATGATAGGAATTTACTGAAAATCCAAGATCAAAGGCATTCAAAACGCTGGAGAAAGACGGCGGAGCTTCGGAGGAGGGGGAGATGTCTACTGGCACCCAGGGCGAGATCCGGGTTGGCCCCTCGCATATTCTCAAGTCATGCTTTTATATATGTATATATAATGTTTTTATTTCATATTATATAATGTACAAATATTCTAAGACTATAGAAGATTTTATCTCAAATAGAGAGAGAGAGAGAAAGTTTCACATCTTTTATATTCAATAATGTATTTTTTTTTTATTTTTTAAGAAAAGGACACTAAACATCTAAAGACACAAACACAAGCATGTTAGCGGTTAATATTTTGTCAAATTGTCTTTCAATTGTATTGATAGCATAATATAACAGTACAATCGATATCATATCATTATTATATTGATACGGTTCAGGGGGTGGATGATAGGAATTTACTGAAAATCCAAGATCAAAGGCATTCAAAACGCTGGAGAAAGACGGCGGAGCTTCGGAGGAGGGGGAGATGTCTACTGGCACCCAGGGCGAGATCCGGGTTGGCCCCTCGCATCAGGTTTGCCAAAATATATCTTGAAAAACTTTCTAGCTATTTAGCTGTATCGCACATTGTGCCTTTTTCAAGGCATGTGCTTATTAGCATAGAAGTTTATTACGAGGTAAGGGGCGTGTGGATCGCGCGTATAAAATCACAAATCGTTATTATCGTGCATTAATTGGTCATTGTTACATCATGACTGTATATGACTGTATAATTGTTATTATGAATATATAACTGATCCTATATATGTATATATACAGACACAAGGACAATTTTTATGTAGTTTTAAATAATATTGATTTTTTGTGTTGTGATAATAAAGTCTTCCTTATAGAAGATATTTGCAAAGTCACGGAGAAACATACATTGTGCAGATTAGATGCCTAATTAAATAATTAAATTTATTGATTTTAAATGATTTATTGATTTTACTGATTGAATTATGAATATATTGTATTAAATTATGAGGAAAAAGCACATAATTTAATACAAATACTCCCGCATATCTATTGTACATACATTACATGACAAGGGACATATATGTATATAGTATATTTTATCATCAGACATAATGTAATTTTGTTTTATTTTTGTACTATGAAGATTAAACAAGAAAATACGAAAAAAGATTCTGGAGATCCTCACACACTCCTTACAGCAATAAATATTAAATGTAAAAACGAATGTAAAGGAGAGAGAGAGAGAGAGAGCTGCACATATGTGCACGCTCGTGCGTGTGTGTGTACGTTGTATATATGTGCATGTGTTACACATGTGTTTAAAAAATACGCGCGCGTGCACGTACAAACGATTCATTGAAAGATAGTAAAAATTGAAGTTTATTTTCTGACGGACGAGATAAAAAGAGTTACGTAAATATACATATATGTACTGTATATGTACACATATGTAATCTAATCTGAAATGTATGAAGTATCAGTCTTGAAGTTTCTCGCGAATAAAACCGATAAGAGGTACCGAGATCGACATATACACAACTTCTTGTAGAAACTCGCATTTTTTTCGCACCGAATATCGTACACCGACTTTAAAAATGTCGCTTATATTATAAATTCGACGTGTTAATCATATAAGCATATTTTAAGCTACACTCAAAGAGAGATATACTTCAGTCGTAATCTTACATAAGCGCGCGCGTGCGATATAAAATTCTTTTTAAAATTAATTATTACACAAAACTCTCAAAGATTAAATTTGTTCCGATTTCGATCCGATGGTTCAACTAAAGCATCACGCATTAAAGAGCTTCGAATGTTTCAGGTGTAGACCGATTTTATCTGCAAATATGTGAAACATATTCGTCAAGCTCTCGACGATATTTGTTGTATCGCACGAATGATCGCCTCACCATCAAAATATCGATATTCGAATAAACCGAGAAGAGAATCTTTCTTTGCAATGCGCTGTGCATGAAATACATATTTGAGAGTACGGTGTAATGGTGATAATTGCAGTTTATATATTTGGCGTGAGATGGCATTTTCTTAATTTAGGGTGGTATTTAGTCACGGTGAAGTAATTGAATTGAAAAACGCGTCCGAGATAAGCGGATCAATTCACCTTCGCACTGTTTATACTTGTTGGCATACAACAATTATTCGCGATTGCTTACTTGAACCATCTGTGAGCACGAATATTGTACCGGCGTGTCCCGAAATCTAACGAGTCTCCTTTCACACCTTTCACACCTAACGTTTAGAATATTCAGTGTATAAGATATTCAAAGAAGATATACAAGAGATATTTTTAAAGTTACATCGATAAACATCGTCAAAGTACGAAGATAAACTTTGTTTTCAATCAATAATCGCGTCTGTATGTACAACTAATCGATCATTAGTAAGTTTACTTATTTGTCGCTTTCTTCTTCTTAATTACGATTAGCCTCTCTCTAGAATTATTTTACTAAAAATAACTCAATCGACAAACATATCGGCGATCATGACGTGAAATGATAAATACACGATGCAAGTTATATTTGTAAATACATATAATTTGTATCGTTAATCCGTAATTATCGTAAGTGCCGTGGATAATTATCACGTGCTAATAAAGTGCGCGCGCTTGCGTGCGAATGTATCTCGCGTATATATTTATATAGACAAAGAAAAGTAAAATTATACTATTCTCTAGATGAGATTTTCGCATAGAATGCTCGAAAACGAAAGCCGATAAAAAGAGAACAAATCGCGGTCTTCTTAATTCTGTCTCTTTACGAATGCAAACAGAAAGAGAAAGAAAGAAAGAAAGAAAAATGGACAGGCAGATTTATGTCGATTAGTCTTTGGGAAAGTTAGTCCCTTGAGAAGGCAGGCCATTGAGAACGCGTAGGTACGTCACTCTTAACTAACTTGCTTTGGCATTATCTGTGCTAACCCCGCGCAATCCCGAATTTTTGGGATTTACAGGAATTGGTTTCTTGTCAGGCCCGTTTGCCTGAGTATCGGCCGGGTATACCTCCCGGAGAGCTGCCACCCGATCCAGAATTCTCCAAGGAGCGCGAGGAGCTAAGATGGATACCGGCGATGGCGTTGGACGGGGATCTGCTCATGTACTTGAGGGCGGCCCGTTCAATGGCAGCGTTCGCCGGTATGTGTGACGGCGGTTCACCGGACGATGGTTGCGTGGCCGCCGCCCGAGACGACACTACCATCAACGCGCTGGATATCCTGCACGACTCTGGCTATGATCCCAGTAGGGCGCTCCAAGCACTCGTCAAATGTCCCGCACCGAAAGGCATCGACAAGAAATGGTCCGAGGAAGAAACTGTACGTTTCTCGTTATATTTATGACTCGTTCATTACGGGTTTACAGTACAGAACACGAGAGAGTTTCTAACGGACGGATTTTTCCCCGCAGAAGCGATTCGTCAAGGGTCTACGGCAGTTTGGAAAGAATTTCTCGCGTATTAGAAAGGATCTTTTACCTCACAAGGATACGGTAAAGATTAATGTTTTACTAGACTTTTTTCTCTTTTCGTAACCTAACTGTGCTTTTTATTGTGGGTTCATCCTTCTTCCATTGACTTCTCATTTTTTTTTTTTTTTTTTT